TAGAAGAAAGAAAGACAGTATTTCATGCAATGTACTGCTTCAGAAACCACGCTGCAGGGTTTGTATGCATTAGTTCTGACTTGATGACACATAACAACAACAACTATTCTTGTAGCAGAGGGAATAAGAGTAAATACCACTGCTGTTGTCATTATTAGGTGCATTGAAGTTGAGTATGACTTATTACAGCCCTATGAACAATGAATATGAACGTTTCCCAATCCTGTGTCATCCTCATAACTTCTAACATACTAGAGAGAGAGAGAAATGAGGCTTAGTGGCAACTCATAATAACCTATATGTTGTTATTGGTGGTGGCGTTAGGCGCCATTGAGTCAAGCATGACTCATAGCAATCCTATTGGATCTGAACCCTGTTCTATCCTGCACCATACTCACACTTCCTGACACACAAGAGCCCATTGCAGTAGCACTGTGTCAATCCACCTGGTTGAGGGTCTTCCTCTCATTTATCAACCCTCCACCCTTCTCAACATCATGTCCTTCTCCAAGGAATAGCCCCTCCTCCTAGCAATGTCCCCAAAGTACGTAAGGCGAAGTTTTATCATTCCTGCCTCCAAAAAACACTCTGGCTGCACCCTCTCCAAGATATATCTGTCCATTTTTCTTAGCCATCCATAGGATGTTCAGTGCTCTTCTCCAACACCACAGCTAAAAGGTGTCAATTCTTTTTCTGGCATCCTTATTCACTGTACAGTTCTCAGATGCATAGCAAGTAATCAGAAAGACCATGGCCTGAATCAAATGCACATTAGTCCTCAAACTGACATCACTACACCTGAGTAATTTGGAGAGCTCCCTAACTGAAGATTTTCCCTGTGCAATGTGTCTCCTTTTTTCCTGACTGCTGATACCAAGGGTGTTAATTGTGGATCCAAGCAAGTTGAAGCTGTTGACAGTTTTAACCTCCTCTCCATCCATCATGATACTGCTTTATGGTCCAGTGGTAAGAATATTTGTTTTCTTGATATTGAGGTGCAATCCATACTAAAGGCTGCATTCCTTGATCTTCTACAACAAGTGCTTCAAGTCCTCCTCACAAGCAAGATTGTGTCATCTGCATAACACAGGTTATTCATGAGTCTCCCTCCAATCCTGATGCCACATGCCTCTTCATAGAGTTCAGCCTATTGTCACAATATTAAAAGATGGTCAATATACTTAAATGACCCAGAAAGCATCAAAAGAAGATAGAGGAATACACAGAACCACTTTACCAGAAAGAATTGATTAACACTGGAAAATATCATATGCACAAGAGCCAATGGTAATAAAGAAGGAAGTGGAAGCTGTATTGAATGCTTGGGGGGGGGCGGAATAAGACCCTAGGAATCAATGGGATACCAATTGACTCATTTTAATTAACAGATGCAGCCTTGGATGTGCTCACCAGTCTATGCCAGGAAATTTGGAGAACAGCTGTCTGGCCAACAGAGTGGAAGAGTTCCATATTTGTTTCCATTCCCAAGAAAGGTGAACCAACAGAATATGGATCATGAACTGCCAAGAAAACAAATAGGTCCAAGCCAGACCTATTTGTTTTCTTGGCAGTTCATAATATTACCACTACTAATATTTTCTCTTGTGAAACTATAAGACACTAAGACAACCAGAATTCAGCAAAAATTAAAAAGTTTGTTCTTATCATTGTATATTTTTTCTAGTCATTTAGAAGTGAAAACTTTCATTCTGAAATACTACATTTTAAAAAAATTCTTAATATAATCCCTTCAGTGAATTTTTAAAAAATTTTTTATTAATTTTAATGAACATTTACAGGGATTTTGGATTTTCATTCATTCATTGTTGCACTTACTTTCTTTGCCCCCTCCCCCCAGTGTGCTCCTCTCTTTGAAAAGCAAAAGATAAACTTTTTCGTTGGTATACAATACGCTCCCGCCCCCGACCCTGCCCCCGCCCCACCCCAAATACACTCCACTATGCAACCTTAATTCTGGATTCACATTTTTTAAAGGTTAAACTGTCATGACAAGCTGAGAGTTTACTTGCTGTTTTATCCAATTCTTGTGAAATTCTGAATCTCCAAACTCTGAACTACACTAGACTTAAACAAAAAACAAAACTGAGAAAAACTGGATAAATTGTGTATACTGCACTGAAACAGATGAGGGACTGAATAATTTAAAAGCGATGTATGATAGGGTATTATGGTTATCACAAGAGTCCACAATTAAGGTTGCATAGGATGTACTTGAGGTGGTGGGAGGGGTGTGGGGGGATTGTGTCCCAGGGAAGGAGTGTTTCTTTTACTTTTGAAAGAGAGCAGCTAACTGGGATGGGGGGGAGGGCTAGGCGGGGAAAGAAATCCAGCAATGAATGAATGGAAATCCAAAATCTCTGTAAATGCTCATTAAAATTATTTTAATAAATAAATAAATACAAAAAATTAAAAAAAAAACACCAAAACCAAAACTCTAATCCATAAGACAAATTTGGTCAAATCATTCAATTATTCAGGTCTATTACATTCTAGCTATTTTTACTTAATTAAATATTTTTAACTAAAAATAAATGTGCTGTCTGTTGCTAGGAAATCAAAAGATTAATTGCATTGGGAAAGTCTCCTGTCAGGAACCTCTCCAGAGTACTGAAAAGCAATAATGTCCATCTGGAGACTAAGGTGTGCCTCATCCAAGCCGTGTCTTCACAATAACTAGCTATGCATCAGAAAGTTGGACAATGACTAGGGATGATAAAAAGAGAATTGTTGCCTTTGAGTTGTGGTGCTGGAGAAGAGTATTGAATGGACTTTGTATTGCATGGACTGCCAGGAAAACAAACAGGTTTACGCTATAGAGGGTGAAACCAGGCTGCTCCTTGGAGGAACGAATTCTCGGGCTTCATCTGTCATACTTTGGGCATGTTGCAAAAAGGAATCAGTCCTTGGAGAGGAACGTCATGCTTAGAAGGGTGGAAGGACAGTACAAGAAAGGAAGACCCTTGATGAGATAGATTGATTCAGTGACTGGGGTAATGAGGGCAGGTGTGTCAGAGACAATAAGGTTGGCACAGGATAGAGCAGGATTCAGGGCTGTTGTACACAGAGTCGCAAGTGACTCAATGGCAAATAGCAACAACTGCCTCTTGCTGATGATAGTAAAAAACTTATGATAATGTTGTTGTTGTTGTGTTCTATGCAGTCAACTATGACTCACGGCACCCCTCTAAACAACAGATCTAAACTTTGCCCTATCTTGTACCATCCTCCCTATCTCTGATATGCTTGAGCCCTTTCTTATAGTCACTGTGTAGATCTATCTTGTTAACAGATTTCTTCTCTTTCACTGATCTTCCACCTTTTCTATCATGATTTCTTTTTCCCATGAACTGACCCTTCCTGACAATGTGACCAAAGTATGTTAAACAAAGTTTCACCATCTTTGCCTATAAGCAGCACCCTGGTTGCATTCCTCCAAGACAAACTCGTTTGTTCTTTTGGCAGTCCATAGGCTATCCAGTGCTCTTCTTCAACACCACAATTGAAAGGCATCTATCCTTCTGTCATTCTTATTCATTGTCCACATTTCATGAGCATGTTGTTGTTGTTGTTGTTGTTGTTATGTACAGCAGTTCTGAAGGCTGCCCTGTCCTGAGCCAGTCTCACTGACTCTGACACACCGACTCCTATTGCCCAGTTATTGTATCAATCCATCTTATCTGGGGTCTTCCTCTCCTGCACTGACCCTCCATCCTTCCAAGTATGATGTCCTTCTCTTAAGACCAGTTCCTCCTGGCCATGTGCCCAAAGTGTATGAGAGAGAGCTTCAAAATCCTAGCTTCCAAAGAGACACTTGGCTTCAACCTCTCCAGCACAGACCTATTTGTTTTCTTGGTTGCCCATGGTATGTTCACAAATACAGGAAGTAACTTTAAAAAAACATTGTTTGGATTAAGGACACTTTGGTCTTCAAATTTATACTGTTGCTCATATATATCATATATGCTATATGACAATAGCACAAAGTTTAGGAAACCTTTGTTGCTTAAAAAAAATCTTTGTGTAAATGAAGCTTCTACATTTCAAAAGCCCCAAATTCACTAAGCAAAGCACCTTCTAAATCTTACTGCTGTAAGCTTTTCCTGAACTGTTATTATACATAATAAGAGACTTGACTTGACAGTTTCTATAATGACACATTATAAATTCTACACTGGATGTGTTTTTTACCTTCAACTCTTGTGATGGCAAAACCATTTTACTCAAAGCTGATTGGTTGTGCAGGTCTGTAACAGTACTTATATGTGATCTTGCTATCCCAAATTTTCTGGAAAGGAGGATTCTTGTTATCTTAAGCTTTTTTAGTACTTGAACATGATACCATATGAAGAATTTTTGTTTTCTTATTAAGAAATAAATGTATCTTCCTCCTCAAGATCTCTCTGACTTCAGAATTTTAGAGTCTTTCCACTGTAGACCATTAGGAATATATTTTTAAACATAGGCTAGCAAAGTTCAAGTTATTTTATGTATATTGCAGCTTCTAACTGGCTTTGGGTGAGTATTAGAGATCATCAACACAAATTATAAAGTGCAAATAATGAGCTTAATTTCATAGACAGTGTGCTTCCTTGCTTTGTTCCTTGATATTAGCTGTATAATAATTCTTTTGAAAGTAGTCTTCTGATAAAACTTCATACGTCTTGGCTCATGTACTATGTTTGAATAATTTTTCCTTACATTCTATTGACAATTCCTATTATGTTTTGTGCACTTCTGCATAGAACAGTCATGTTTTTGTCAACAGAAGTATTTCAAAATATAGTGCCTGCATATCATTTTCTTCCTAATTTAGCCTCCACCCAGCTCTCAAAACACTCTCTAGCATGGGTAAAATAATTCATATGCTTCCTATGTTAGAGCTGCAGCCTTAATTTTCTTTGTTTGATTTCTTTAGTTGAGTTTCTTATTCTGTTAAATATATTTATTTGTTTAAGGCTTATGAAAAGTTTGGTGGGAAAATGCCGCTGCTTCAGTGTAGGCATGGAACATCACTTTCTAAGCTAGATAGCTTGGTGAGTATTTTGGTTCATTTTTTTTCCCAATACGTAAGAATCACAGACTATGGTAGTTGTTCTCAGATGTACACTAGAGTGGGAAAAATCACTGTTTAGATAAACCAGAAGAACCAAATAATATCTGAGTCCACAGATGGAGTGGAAGTAACAACCTATACAGATATTGCAATCTATAAACAGACATTACAAATGTTATTTTTAATTCAAAAAATTCTTCCTCTTAGACTTTCATCTAATCATTTGACTTTTAAAAAACATTTAATATAAGTATTGCTTTAAAAAAATAGAAAAAGATTGGCATTTTAATTTTCAAATAGAAGACCCTGCATTTCTATGTAAATGTGTACCAGAATAAAAACATTATCAAGAATCTCTGGGCTATTACTGCCATAGAGGAGCAAAGGCTGTTTGATCAAGAGAAAAATTAGATATATAAAAGCTTGAGCCATAATCTTGGAAAGTAAATTAGAAAGTAAAGTTTTCACCAATATTTTCTTTATTTACTTCCTTGTGTTCTTATAAATACTCTAGTTTTAGTTGTCAGTGTTTTAATTCTCTAGAACACTAAAATTCTTAAAATCTTTAATTAGCAGAAAAGACTTCATATATACTGCTCCTTTTGTTTAATTATGCCATCTCCAATTCTCTGATAAACAGGAGGCAATTGATTGTATCTGTTTTGTGTTATTCTGCCAATGTTATTCTACTATATCATGCCTTCTGTAGCATGTTAAGGCTACCCTGCTATATATGAGTTGTTTTCTGTGCGAGACACTTTTCTTTTAAAGCTGAGGAGGAAATTACCTTTGTCTTTCAGAAAGGCTATTTTCATTAGAATGTGACTAATTCTTTGAAAGATAACTCTAATCTGTAGAAAGTTGGCACTGCTATTCCAAAAGCCACATGTTCTAATTGTGCCAATCCATCAGGAGTCTGAAGGAGAAAGATAGGCAATGTCCTCTCATGAAATTTATAGCCTCAGAAATAGGCTTAGGAGCTTAAGGGGTTCTTTTTGTTTGTTTGATTTACATTATTCAGGAGAGACACTAGAAAAATTCTTAAAATATCAGACTATCTTTGAATTCTGCATACCTGTGAAAGCAAGCATTGTCCCAAACCACTACTAGATCTATTTTTACACAGGAGGAAAAGAAAGAGCAAAATAAATTAACAAGTTATTAAGTGTCTATAAGTGTAGGAGTGTTGGAGATTTGCTCAGGCTAGAACAGGGTTCAGAGCTATTGTGCATAGGGTCACTATGAGTCACAGGCTACCTGACTGCACATAACAACAATATTATAGGCCATTTAAGTCCTAGTGATGCAATGGTAAATCCTTAGCCAAAATATCTAGCAGTAGTTCAAATTTATCAGATACTCCATAAAAGAAAGATGAGGTAGTCTGCTTCTACAATGTTTACAGCCTTGAAAAACCTATAGGCAGTTTTATTTTTCCTATAGTTATTTGAGTCAAAATGGACTAATTTGAAAGATAACTAGTAAAACATGTATGAGGATTCAAAGGGAGGGGAGGAGCAGAGAGGTGAGGATGGGCAGGGGATTACCCATAGGATTGCACAATTTGATGAGTGGAGGGTGGGGTGGGTAAAGGGAATGGGAAAGATGCGGTGTGAAAAACAATGTATACGAACTTTGGAAGTAAATCAGTATAAAATAAAAATTTTATCTTAAAAAAATTTATTAATTTGGTTTGTATTTATATGCTGGTTCCTAAGCTAAGAATTAAATTTTATCTGCTACACCATGAAAATGAATAATTAGGATTATAATCTCCTTTTTCTCTAATATTATGTAAATAAGAACAGATTTTTCTTAAGGAATTACCAATTGCTTCAGAGTATGCCTTGTTCAAAGAGAAAACCTTATTTCTATAAAACTTGAACTAACTGGAATGAGTTAAATGAAATTCATAAAAAAAACTCTCTAAATTTATTATATAAATCTTTCTTTTCAACTTTTACTTGTATATGTTTAATCAAACTATCTGATAAAAATATACCTTTACATTTCTATTTCTTGTTTCACTGACTGGCCCTGGAGTAAAAATGATCTTTTCAAGGTGAAATGATAATAATATAAACAATAACTAAGGATATACAAGAAAAGACTTTGTTGGTTTTAGTTACCACTAAGTTATCTGTGGCTCCATGGCAACTTTACATATGATAATATAAGAAAATGTATGCTAAAGATTGTGGAATATTCCATTTATTTAATTAGCCTCTATATTCTAGAATGTTGTCCACAAATCTTAACCAAGAGTGCAAAGTTCTGATTTTAGAATATGCTCTCATTAAATCTGAATTTAAATTTGCATAGTAAATGTACTTGAACATTCCAAGCCTATGTAAACTTACCTAGCAATTAGAAATTCATCAATATTCCTATTTTCAGGGTAACCGAATTTATTTCCTATTCCTATGGTATCTTTACAAGATCATTGACATTTTTCTCTCTCTCAACTCCTTTCCTTCTCTTTTTTTATCTTTGCTCTTTTTTTTATTTCATTATTTTTTGTGTGTGTACCGTCAAATCAGATCTGACTGATACAGGAGGAGATAGTTCCTCCTTCTCCAGCAGAGCATCTGGTGGATTCGAACAGTGTACCTCTGAGATTGCAGTGCAGTTTCTTGCCACTAGGCCACCAGAGCTCGCCTATCTTTGCTCTTTAATCTGACTGATTTGGCTATTAGGAACAGTACTCAACTGTAACTATAAAATATTTTCTTACCATAGACTAGAGGTAGCAATAGAAAACCCATCACTGTCTAGTTCTATATTATACTTTACAGACAAATAGGCTAGTGACAAAACAAGTGCAGACTGCCCTATGCATAATTATCTGCTGATCCAAAATTAAAATTCAGTTTTGTATTCCAGGTATCAGGTGTAAAAATGAAGATTCTTCTGGTTTTTCTAGGTCTGTTCAGTGATTCCATTGCTATGCCAGTAAGTATTTTTAAAAATAGACTTAAAATGGGGGAGGATGGAGTTTTTCCTTTATGACCTATTACTGCTTAACTTGAGGAATATAAGATCATTTCCGTTTCTAGCCTGCATTTGTCACTGATACTCTCTCACTTCCAGATGCATATGCCACGAATACCTGGATTCAGCAGTAAAAGTGAAGAGGTATGTATGCTGAAGTCTCTTAAAGCATATATTCTGAGTACATGAGGGTTTACGGGAAAATATTATAGAAACCTAACCTGGAAGCATAAAGAAGAATAATGAGGGGGGGGGGAATTAAGCATTTTAAAAAGAAAGAAGAATTGGAAAAGTTATCATTTATAAAGTTTCTTATTAAAGAGGTGTAGAAAAATACAAAAATTTAAACTTTCCTATCATGACAAAAATAGTCATTTCTCCCAGTGTCATCCTCTGTGTGCTTCAGTAATCCATTTTAAGGTAAATGTACATTTGTGTTAAAATCTAGTTGATAATAGCTTTTTTATTAAGTTACTAGCTAGAAAGGTGGTCATTTTTACTAGGGAAAGAACATAATTATATACTTAAATATTTTTCCTATGACTCACATCCAGGATCATTAACCAAACATAATATATACCAAAACTGGAAGGGAAAAACATTTCTCTATGTAATTATCACATTCTCAACTCCTGTATCCCAAAGAATGAAATGGAATAGTCAAAAATTTCAAAGGAAGACAGATTTTTATTCTCCATTATTTTATATTGATTCTTCTCAAAATAAAATTCTGTTTTAATTATTAGAGTACCCTGGGAGTTTTTTTGAGTGCATACTAATTTTAAATTTATTTGTAACTAGTAAAAAAATCCTATGAATGTCGCCCTTTGAAATCAGAAATTCAATGTGTTATTTGTGAGTTGTGTGAATAAAACATTTCACTTTGTGTCACATTGATTCTTTTGGTCACAGATGATGCGGTTCAATCAGTTCAACTTTATGAACTCTCCACATGTAAGTTTCTCTTTATTTCATCCTATCTCCTGTTTATATCTGGTAAGATACACTACAAAGGTTTCTCTTAGCCACACCAAAGGAAACTACACAGTTTACTTACAATATTCAGGTAGCTTCTACAGTAAAAAAAGAGTTTCATTCCTAACTCTGAGTTGAATTTGAAGGTAAATTGGAGCAGTTAGGTATGGTTTGAACACATCAGTTGGAAAAACGTTTGTTTTAGTATACAGTGTGATATTCATTTAAAAAAATATTAAAGAAGTACCTCCAGACACACTGAAATATCTTTAACATAATACAGCAATAATAATGTCTGATGCTCATTCTTTAGAGAGATTGGTTTATAATGGCAGGTGGAACGTAAATAGGGTTTTGCAAACCTTTTAGTAAACCAAGGAATCCTTGAAATCTTTTTGAAAGGTTTCAGGAAGTAAAAAGATCATATCTGTGTCCCCATAAACCAAATTTTCTCTTTACTCATTAGTATTCTTTCACAAAATCCAAAACAGCTTACTAATTTTAGCCAAACCAATTTGGGTCTGGAAAAGATTATACAATGCAATAAACAAAATAGTAAAGCAAATAGAGGGTACAATGTATTTGGTTTGTCTTGAAAGAATACTATTAATTTTTTCAAAATATTATGAAGTTTTGTCTTATTTGAGCAAATTTAAGTTACTGAAATTATATATTCTCATTCTTATAGCAAACTAATAACTGAATTACCACCACTCAGATACTTTTGGCATCTTTTCTGAAGCAAAATTGAATGAGCACACTATTATACAACAAGTAGCTTTTGATTTGTAGAGGCATTTTGAAAGGAAAATAAATTTTCTCTTTTTTATTCATTTTCTTTTAAATTCTCTCATCTGAAACCATCATCATTGTCCATTCCTTTTGCTCAGTAACTGATTGATCCAGCTCTTTCCAACTCTCATCCTCCATTTGTTCTCTTCACTTTGTTGTGGGATTTTCCACACACTTATGTATTATAAATTTCTGACCTTAATTCCAAGTTTACAACTTCAGTTTCTATTTATTTACATTTCATGCTTTCAGTATGATGTGTATTTAGTATAAAAGAGAGTGAGAGAATGATTCAAGAAGGTGATGAATAGATGAGTGTTACATTAGAGAGGGAATGTGGGAATAGTGATTATGAGAATCTGACTCATGCATTTTCAGATTATGACTACTCTGCTTCCCTTTTCTATGCAGACGCCCTACTAAAGAAAGTTGGATTGATAAGCATCCACTTGTACTTAAGAAAGATCAGCATTATAGCCAACTTTATTCACTCTGTCTCACCTCACTTTCTTACGGTTTTGTTGCTATTGCTGTTTGGGTTTGCCCTTTCCCTTCCTTGATCAGTCTTTCGACAAATCACATAGTTTTGGGTTTGTTTGGGTTTTATTTTCTATTGGTTTGTATATAAAATTCATATACATTGTGTGTCATTCATGTACACAGTGTTTCACACATTCCTTCATTCACATTGTGTTTCAGATGATCATACCCATACATTATGTTTTATAAAATTAATCACCATTGATCTACAACCACTATCACTCCATCTTTTCAAGTCCCCATTGAATCTTTCCTAATCCTTTCATCTCCTCCATCCACCCATCAAGCTCTGTGACCCCGTGGTTTCTACCCCCTCCTCACTCATAGCTCCCATGTCCTACTCCCACTCCCGCTTTGGACTTTTAGCTATCTCTTACTAGTTATCCTTCTATTTTTTTACAATAATGCTCTTGTGCAATATTTGTCATTATGAGACAGAGTTAGTTTAAAAATCACAGTTTTTAATTTGGTGGCAACTTTTTTGACCCTCTCACCTATATGCTTATCTAAGGCATACATATCTTCACATCACCATTCCAATTTTAAATTGAAATTTCTCATTTAATTGTGACTTTTTTTGGTTTTTTATTTTGTGTTATAGAGGTCTAAAGTCCATTTCTATAAGGTACCATTTTAATGAAATTCCAGTTAATGTTTTCTCTTCCATTGTTGATTCTAATTCCATGGGCTTCTCAAGTACCTTGGCTGAGGTCTAGAGGTTGACATTATTGTGAGAAGAGCCTGGATCTCCATCTCTGCTGTGATTTCACTGATCTCTGCTTCCTTTTCAGATGTCACCGCTGGGCCCCATGTTTGGAAATGGCATGCAATTCCCTCAGGGCTTCCCACAGTTCCAGATGCCCATGTGGCCTCAGCCAACACCCAGTGGATGGCAATACCAGAAACCTTCACCTCCCTCAGGACCCAAGCGCCAAAACAAGACTGATCAAACCCAAGAGACTCCAAAACCCAGCCAGCCTCAACCAAAAAAGTCACCACCAAAGCGTCCTTTAAAACAGCCTACACAGGCCCCACCTCAGCCCAAAGAGGAAGCCCAGACACCTCAGGTGAGGCCTGTTCAGCCAAGTTCCAAATCAGTCATAACACACCACAGGGAGTTGAAAGGTCATACCACCTTTACATACAAACTTTGCCCAATGTTCTTTAATATAAGTATTCCTACTTGGGAACCAAAGGTGTACAGCAATTAGTAACAGAGTTCCTAACCACAAGGTAGACAACTCAAACCTACCAGATTTTCTGACTTCCATAAAGACTATACCTGTTGCTATCATGTCGATTCTGACTCATAGCGATGCTATAGAACAGGAAGTACTGCTGTAGGATTTCTTCTTGTTGTATGCTAAAAAAATGCAGTGCATTTTCAGGGGCAGTAAATCTCCTGGGAAGAGACTACCCATCCTCCTCCCACAGAGCAGCTGGTGGATTTGAACTGTGTGCCTTTGAGATTGCAGCACAGCTTCTTACCAATAGGCCACCAGAGCTCCCTGTGGTTTCTTGGGCAGCTCCATTAACAGCTAAGTCTTTAACCAATTTTCTTCCATAAAGACTGTTGTTGTTATGTGCTGTCAAATAGGAACCAACCCAGAGCTGGTTCTCTAGTGGATTTTCAGAGGCTATAAATCACAGAGGAGGAGATTACCCATCTTTCTGTCTCAGAGTAGCTGGTGGATCTGAACTACACCTGCCTTTGACTTTGCAGTCCAATTCCTTATCCATAAGGTCACCAGAATTCCATATTGAATAAAGATTACTCTGTGCTATAAAGTCACTATGAAGAACTGATTCCATGGAATCTGGGTGGTACAAGTAGTTTGCAAATGGCTCCTATAACTTAAAGATTTACGTGAAAACCTACCCAGTGACTCCATGGAACAAAGAACCAATAACTGTTTCCATAAACATAAACAAGAACACTATAGAGAAATTCTACTCATGAGTTTTTCATGAGTTAGAATCAACTCAATGGCAGCAAGTTTGATTTTGCTTTTTTATGTACATAATACCCTCTTTAGTTTTGACCTTTTCTTTCAAGATAATGCTGTAACCACTGGCCCAAAGCTCCTTTGTGAGTCAGTTCTAGTTTCTATTTAGGTCAGAATGACCTAAATACTATTACCTTTAAAACCAATTGCTGCCAGTCAGTTCTGACCCAGTGATTCCATGTATGTCAGAGTAAAACTTTTAAATTTAGAGGCAACGTGCTCTATAGTAACATGAGTACTAATCTCAGAGTCAAAGAAATCTGTTTGAAGGAAGTGCAACCAGAGTGATCCTTAGATGCTCCTTCACCTCACTTACTTTGGGCATTTCTTTCAAGAGGAATCAGTCCTTGGAGAGAGCTATCGTGCAGTAAAGGTCAGCAAATATCCTCAACAAGATGGATTGACACAGCAACTGCTACAGTGGTCTTGAGCATGACTGAGATAGTGAGGATGGTGAAGAATAGGTAGACAAACAAGGTTTGGATCTGTTGTTCATGGCGTCACTATGAGTTGTAGTTCACTCAAAGGAACCTAACAACCACTAATAATCTGAGAGTCAAGGAATAAAGTTACAACATTTACCAGCCTGCTCCTTGGATCCAAGGACTCTGAAGCTTCTTCTGAGAAACGTTGGCCATGTTGCAAGGAGGGACCAGTCTTTGGAAAGGGACATCATGCTTCCAAGGGTGGAGGAGCAGTGCAAGAGAGGAAGACCCTCAATGAGATGGGTTGATTCAGTCACTGGGGTAATGGGGTGGGTGTGTCGGAGACAGTGAGATTGGCACAGGAAAGAACAGGGTTTAGGGCTGTTGTACATAGCGTTGCTGTGAGTCACAGGCAACACGATGGCTTGTGACAATAATAACAACAACAATAATATAACTTTGAGCAAGTCATTTCATCTTTCTGGACTCCAGTTTCCCATGAATAGAATTCTAACAAGCCAGATTAATACAATGTCTATGTCAATGGGCTCAAATATAGCAATGATTCTGAAGATGATCAAGTAGTATTTTATTCTGTGGTACATAGGGTAAGCTCTAAGTCAGAATCAACTTATTGGCATCTAACAACAGTAAATCCAATGGTCTTTAACTCCTTTCCAGATCTATGCTTTGATGATCTAAATATTGTTCAGTAAATTAATAATGGAATATTTCAGGATGATCCAAGTGTAGACAAAACAAGATAAAGTACAAATAATTTCTCAACATTTACCTAGGATGAGCATTGAAGAGCCTGGCTTTTGGTCTGTGAACATTTATTACCAAACACTATTATGCTGTTTGCTATCAAATTGGATCCAATTCATAACTGACCCTCCAATGGGTTTTTAGAGGCAGTCAATCACACAGTAGAAGACTGTGCATCTTACTTCCATGGAGCAGCTGGTGGATTTGAACCTTGTACCTTTGGGTTCACTACACATTTCTTTACTATTAAGCCACTAGAGCAGAAAACTAAACAAACAGACACCTCTGGGTTTGAATCCTGGTTTAAATTATTTAACAGCTATGAGATTTAAGAGCAGTGTCTTTAACTTTTTGGAATATCAAAGCTTTAAGCAAGACAGTAATAATAGTACAGCACTTGCTATGCTATTGAGAGCAAGCTAGACAGTGAATAAGTATGACAGAAGAGTTGGAGAAGAGTTATGAATATCTATGGACTGCCAAAAGAACAAGCAGATATGTTTTGGAGAAGATGCAGCCAGAGTGTTCCTTGGAGGCAAAGATGATAAACTCACATACATTGGACCTGTGGTTGGAAGAGGCTATTCATTGGAAAGGGACATCATGCTTGGGAAGGTGATGGAACAGTGAAAGAAAGGAAGACCCCTGACCAGATGGATTAACACAGTGATTGTAGCAATGGGCTTGAGTGTGTCAGAATTGGTGACAATGGCACAGGACAGGGTTCATATCTGTTGTTCCTAGGGTCACTATGAGTCGTACTCAACTCAATGACACCTAACAACCTAACAACAACAACAGCTCTCCTAGGATTATGCAAAGATTAAATTAATTTACCCATATAAAATTATGATAAGAGTGCTAAAAAAATAAAGATTCAATAGTACTGTTATTGTTATTGTCTATACTCTATTAAAAAAAATAAAATCTCAACTAATGGTCAGGGATATTTAGACTCCCAACTTTCACATAATTATGTTTAGTTGATTCATTTAGTCTTCATAATTGCATATTACTTCTTTTTCTCTCTCTCTCTCTAGGCATTCCCGCCATTCAATAATGGGCTATTTCCCTTTCAACCACTACCATGGCAAATGCCACAGGTTTGAATTTTTTTTTCTTTACACTGAAAGTGAAAAATAATATTAATATGCTATATCAAAAAACATGAGTTCATATGCTGCTGTAAAATATCATATCCCAATTATAAAAGGATAAGAAACAAGCTCTGATTTTATAATCATGTGGTGGGAGGAAGAAGGAATTTTTAAATAATTTTTTTGTTGTTCAAACAGATTGGTAGCATGACCACAGCCTAAAACAGCAAATCACTACTAATAACTTGATTCATTAATTTTAAGGACTTGTGCTTAATATTTCATTACTATTTCCCAATTCCTTTAGAGATTAGAAAAAACAAAGATAATCTGTTTTCATATAATGTTGACTTGTAGCAAAACAGAGCTTAAAAGCCATAAGGAAAGCTATAATTGGACTAATATTTTTATCATAACTTATTAATTTCTAGCAAATAGTAGGTTGGAATAAAGAATATTGCAAAATAATATAAGAATCTTCAATTCAATAAAGAATGTCTAAACATTGTGCTATTTTAATGAATCATCCATGTGAGATCAAATTGACAACTATAGTTGTAAAAATTATGTAGAAAGTGAGCTTATGTTGCTGGGGAAAGAGGAACTAAAAAGATGAGAATAGCAATGGCTGCACAGCTGAAACAATGTAATTAATGCCACTCAATTGTTCACATCTAAATTATTGGTGTATATTCTGCTGCGCATAACCACAATAAAACCAAAATCAATTCTAAACTGAATCCTCCAATTCAGGCTGTTAACATGAAACAATATTGAGATTACATCATAATGCATTAATCATAAGTGTTATTTTTTTAAGAACTATTAAATCCCAACTGCTCTCAGACTAACTACAAAAAATATTTGAAAACTGTTCGTTCAGTTATGCCATTGTTTTTTCCAGTCTATAATGAGGAATTATTTTGACAGGAAGGAACATTTTTAACAAGAAATCATTTCAAGGTTCAAGGTGTAAGAGTTTCTTAACTTCTTTTCACCCTAAAAGAGGCATTTCCTTTTACTGATCATATTGAATTTAAGAAAGAGATAATACCCAGTAAAGACTATCAGAATATATGGACATGATTCACTTGCAAAGTAGCTATTAACCTCATCACAAATAACAGGATTTTCATTCATTCTTTATTGCACATTTTCCTCCCTCCCCCTCCCATTCCCTTCCAACTTTTTAAATTCTATTTTTTCCTTATTGTACATTTTCTTCCCTTCCTCCCCTCCCCTTTCTCCCAGTCCACCTAGCAATGCACCCCTTGTTCCAGATTGTTTCTGTACATATAATGCTTAATAATATATTCCTTTGAGATAGTTCTTCCCCTCATCTGTTCTACTGCCCTGTTTATTATCTATCCATTCTTTTTCCATTTTCTGCCCACCCCTTCTTGAGAGTAGTCTGTAAGAGCTGTACTTGCTTTTCTAAGCCCTTCTATTATGTAACAACATCAACTATAATTAGTAAAAATTAACTACAGTTAATAAAAATATTATAATAACCAATGAAGGATTGTGAGTTTATCACCCTAAATGCTAGTTATAATATAAAACTCGGAAAATAATATCGTTATTTCTCTTCCATGATGAGTTCTTCCAATAGGGATGTTTGCTTTCTGATGCCACCCAAATTATCTCTCTCTTCTTCTTTTTCTTTCTCTCCTTCCCTTTCTTTGTATGTGTGTATGTTGGATATGGTTGCTTTTGTTGTTGTTATGTACCATCAAGTAAGAATCAACCTATAGTTGACCCTCCAGAAGGCTTTCAGAGGCAGCAAATGACACAGGAAGAGAGTTCCATCTTTCTCCTGCAAAACAACTGTGGATTCAAACTGTATGCCTTCAGGCTGGTCGCATAGCTCCTTAGTAAATTGGTACAAGATGCATCCATACAGAATCTTTCGAATAAAATATTCTCAAACACAGCTGATACAATTGTACTTACCATTATTCACTGGTGAATTATGTTCTAGTTCCTGATCACTAAATTGTAGTAGCTAATAACTCTGAAGCTAAAAGCTAACATTTTGAAATCCATACTCTAATTTGGCCTATTTTAAAATGCTGTGAATGTTACAAATATATGAGAGAAAAGAAAGTTGCTTTCTCAAGTGTTTACATTTCTCAAGTGTTTACACTGTGGTTTTATTTTTATTTTATTTTCATCTTTTAGAGAATACCACCAGGTTTTGGACGCCCACCAATGAGCAATGAAGAAGGGGGAGTAAGTATTGATAAAACTATTTAACTGTATTTCCCCATTGGGAATCAAAATCTTTTAACCCCTGTGGTTTTGCTCCCCATTTAATAAGAAAGTTAAAACTCAGAATATTAATGTGTATCTCAAGTATCTAACATTGGAGAGAGGAAAAAATGTGGAACCAATCAAGCCGGGAACCTTGACTGCAACAATCGGCTTGAGCATCATGGAGAGCACTAAGATGGCTCAGGATAGAGTTAGGTTTAGTTCTTTTATGCTTTGAGAAACTATCAGCTCCAATTTTTATAAATATAACATGAGAAAGTGAAATAGAATGACTCCAACAGTTAGCACATGCATTAATAAGTCTATCTCCATCTCCTGATGGATCGTGATCATGAAGATATCATCTTACCCGTGCATCCTAGCTCCACCCACAAATCGAAATTAAAATATTTTATCTATATTTAATTTTTTAAAGAAAAGCTGAAAACCTAAGGGCCGCACAATTGTCTTAAAGATCCACTGACTGACAAAGTTCATGATAATTAAATCATTCATTTGAAATTTATTTTTTAAAAAAAAGAAATTTATTAAACACTTTCCACTGTGCTAGGGGCTAAACAAAGATGAGATGCAGCATAATTTTTCACTCAAAAACTTCATAGTTGCATAAGCAATTAAAATTCATTGGAATAATTGTTAACGACAGTTGTATATAGTGCTGTGGACCTCTAGAAGTATAGACTAGTTCTCCCTATGGAAGACAAAGATGCTTCAAAGAGAGGACAACATTCAAGCTGAGTCTTGAAGGATGAGTCAGGTTTGCCAGGAAGGATGAAGGTACAGGTGGAAGAAAGGTTCAGGTCGAAGAATCCATGTGTGACAACACTAAAACAGACTGAATATAGTGCTCAGAGAGCTGGAGTCGTTGTGATTCAGTACTGCTTAAAATACAAGGGGAGGAAAATGTGGTAGCATGGGCCATGTGATAATGCTGCTGCTGATTGCATAAGTTATAAATAACACTTATTTGGCACTTACTAGCTACCAGACAGTGAGTCAAGCCTTTTATATATATGATCTTCATGACAACTATGAAGTAGATATTATTTTATCATCTCCATTTCACAAGCAGTATCATGAGAGACAGAGAAAGGACTGAAATTGTCAATTATTTCCTTTTATTTGGATCTATAAACAACACCCTCGGTACTAGCAGGTATGTCAGGAGACATACTTGCTTTGGGCAAGTCTGTGTCTGTAGTCAGGGACTCTTTGAAATACTGAACAGCAATATCAGTTGAAAGACTAAGGTGCATTGGATTCAGGCCATGGTCTTTCTAATTACTATGCATCTGAAAGATGGACTATGAATAAGTATGACAGAAGAATTATTGATGCCTTTGAGTTGTGGTTTTGGAGAAGAGTATGGAATATCCCAAGGACTGACGAACAAATAGATAGATACATCTTGGAGAAAGTGCAACTAGAGTGCTCCTTGAAGGCACAGATGACAAAGCTTTATCTCACATACTTTGTACATATTGCTAGGAGAGACTATTCCTTGGAAAGGGATATCATGCTTGGAACAGTGGAAGGGCAGCAAAGGAGAGGAAGACCCCAAACAAGATGTATTGACACAATGGGCTCAAGCATATCAGAGAAGATCTAGATGACAAGGGGTAGGACAGTATTCAGGTCTGTGTTCATAGGGTCGCTATGAGGCATACTTGACTTGACAGCACCTGACAATAACAATGACACAATCACACTGCAGATATAGTGGCCGTTAGCCAAAGTCTCTCCAGATTCCACCCTTTAGTGTCATGCTCTCCTGATTTACATGTTGCTAAAGAGTTTAGAGGTTATCTTATAAGGTAAGAACAACTTAAATAGATAACAAAAGAAGAAAGTGACAGTATTCCTACCCACTCACCCTCAACTTTTACTACTCTAATACTAGCTAATACATGACCCTGCAGTGGATTGATCAAGGCAGGAGTGCAAAGTCATACCAGAAGAATAAGGCAGATAGCTATTATGACTACTTTTGTGCAAGAGGGAACAACTCACATTTAGGAAACGGGCATATAAAAAAAGGCTGAGAAGTGTTCAGAAAGAGAATGAGAAGTCGCTGTGATCATGGAGACCAAGGAATTACAAGTTTCAAGAAAGGAAGCATAGTCAGTAGTGTAAAAGCAGTCTGTGGCTGATAAGATTTCCCTATCATACTAAAAATGGGGGGAAATCTAATACCATGGTGAGACACAAAGAGTCGTTATTTTCCTGCTTCTTTCCTACAGAACCCTTACTTTGGATATTTTGGGTTTCATGGATTTGGCGGTCGCCCTCCTTATTATTCAGAAGAGATGTTTGAACAAGATTTTGAAAAACCCAAAGAAAAAGATCCTCCCAAAAAGGAGACTCCAGCAACAGAACCAACAACTAATTCAACTGTTCCTGAAACGAATTCAACTCAACCAAACGTGCAGGGTCCTGGAGCAAGTCAGGGTGGAAATGACACAAACCCAACAGGAAATGGTCTAAACCCCGGGACCAACCTGCAACATGGAGTCCTTTCACCCTCTACAGTTAACATTTCACACCAGGGAGTACCACGAACCCAAATTCCATGGGGACCACGCCAGCCCAATATTTATGAAAATTATCCAAATCCTAACAACCGAGGTTTCCCTAACAGAAGACAATGGCGTCCCACTGGTACTATGATAGGGCAGAGACAGAATGGGCCTTTTTACAGAAATCCACAAGTTCAAAGGGGTCCTAGGTGGAACACCTTTGCTATGGTAGGCAAACAAGCAGCTCGTCCAAACAATCCAGTTTATCGCAGAGCCTATCCTTCCACTGCGAGAGGGAATTCTCCCAGTCTGGTAGGCAATCTAGCAAATTTCCGAAGAAAGCCTCAAGGGCCAAATAAACAACCCACAGGAACCAATATTGCCCCAGTGGGACCCAAACTTGGTACAGTTGATGGCAATGAAAAAATCCAAACTCAAAGGGAAAAATCATTAGGTCAAAAAGAAAGAACAATTGTTCCTACAAGGGATCCAACTGGCCCCTGGAAAACCTCTCAGAACTATGGAGTTAATAATAAACCCAATTATAAACCGCCTCCTACTGAAGATAATGTGAAAATCCCAAATTTCAATTCCATTGATCAACGTGAAAATTCTTTTTACCCAAGAGAAGATACCAGGAAAGTCCAAAGTACTGATGGGCAAACCCAAAACCAGAATTTGCCTAAAGGGTTTGCTTTAGAACCAAGAATCCCATATGAACCAGAAACCCCACAGCCAGAATTAAAGCGCAATACATATCACGCCGTATACCCTGAAGAAATCCCTGCTCCTGCAAGAGAACATTTTCCTGCCGGAAGAAATCAATGGAACCACCAAGAAATCCCTCCAGTTCCTGTGGAAGAGCCTAAAAGGCAGGAAGGACCTTTGCCTCATCCTCCCTATGCTTCTAGAGGAAATGTTTTCTACTCTGACTATAATCCCTATGATCCCAGGGAAAACTCACCATACTTTAGGGGCAATACATGGGATGAGAGAGGTGATTCTCCCAAAACCATGAGGCCACCAGACAATCCTCTATACCCCATGAATACTCCAAGCCAAAAAGAGAGAGTACCTTATAATGAAGAGGACCCAGTCGATCCAAATGGAGACGAACTTTTCCCAGGACAAAGTAGATGGGGTGAAGAAGTGCCCAGCTTTAAAGGAAGCCCCACAGGTAGGCACTATGAAGGTCAACAATATCCTTCAAATCAACCAAGAGATTATCTTCCCTATCCCTTTGATAATAATCCCTCAAAACCCAGAGAGGAGTTCCCTTATAGTGAATTTTATCCCTGGGGTCCAGAAGAGAATTTCCCATCATATAATACACCTCCTACTGTAACACCACCCACGGAGAACAGGGGTTATTATGTTAATAATGCTGTTAGGCAAGAAGAAAATACTCTATTTCCTTCTTGGACCTCATGGGACCAAAGGATTCAAAATCGTAGACCAAAAGAAAGAGAGCCATATTTTAACAGAAATTCCTGGGATCGGACCACAAATTTATACAAAGTTCCAGCTAGAACACTAGACCATCACGAGAACTACCTTTATTCCAGGAACTCTCCAATTGGGCTCCAGAAAAATCCATCATGGCATGAAAGTGAGATGATAAACTATGGCATGCAAATTACCAGGTTAAATTCACCAGATAGAGAGCAACTGGCTTACCCAGATTTCATTCCTCAACGTTACCCACCTGATCAAAAAGAAGAAAATTTGTTTCACCTGAGCCAAAGAAGACCTTGTTGTGCTGGTGGCTCCATAGGACCCAAAGATAAGCCACTCGCTCTACAAGACTATACTCCGTCTTACGGGCTTGCACCAGGAGAGGACCAAGACAGCAGCCCTCCGTACACTGAAGGCAGTCACACCAAACATGCTAGACATGTTATCTCCCCAACGAGCATCTTACCTGGCCAAACAAACAGCTCAGAAATGAGGCAGCCTGAAGAAAGTCAAAACCCCAGTCCTTTCAAAGATGAGGTGTCCACTGTGAGGAGGAACACACCATGTTCTATGAAGAATCAGTTGGATCAAAGGGGAGTGATGCCTCTTCCTGGAGCAAGCTCCTTTCAATCAAAGAATGTACCATGTCTTCAAAGCGATCTCGGTGGAGATGAGAACAACATTATGGAACAAATGTTTGAAAGCAGCCAACCCAGTGAAAGAACTATTAACCTTACCCCTGAGCAACTTGTTATAGGTACTCCTGAAGAAGAAAGCCAACCAGAAGCAATCCAAAGTGAAGTGGAAGGAAATAAAGGTGACAGACAACAACAAAGGCCAATTAGCATCCTACAGTTACCATGCTTTGGCTCCAAATTAGCGAATCAACGTTTCTCTGGCACTAGAACTCCATCTAGGCCATTTGATGGAGATTCAGTTATGACTACTGAAAATCCTAGCACATTGGCTGAGCTAGTTACTGGGTCACAGTTTAAAAGTGTGAATGTAAACACACTAAATGCAGATGAACACACTACATTTGAGTCTTTTGTAAAAGGGACCGATCCACAGGATCATCCAGTACAAGACTGCCTATTACTTCAGGTGTAGGGATTATCCCAGCCAAGAATTATTTGGAGAAGGAAAATAACTGATATTCTATACCAGTCATTCCCAAACCTTTTCTCCCCTAATAGTCCATTAAGTATCTGATCTTTTTTTGGTAATCTTTATGGTTTATCTTCATCTCAGAAACTAACAACAGTGGCTCAGGTGGTGCTGATGAAGTTGGGCTCTAAGATCATTGACTCCAGAATTGTCATACATTCGTGCAAAGTTTAAAATCAAGGTACTCATGACCACCACTGCCTTAAAACTTGGAAGCCACTTGTCTTTGTTAGCTTCCCTTTACTTACTGATTCTTCCTTTTTCCTCTTAAAACCCAATACTTGCAAAATTGTTGGTCTGGCAAAGCAAATGAACTTAACATTTTATGTATTGAAGTCTATTCCTCAGTATAGTGATGAAGTATTACTTTTTTTCCTTATGTTGGTCTTATCAGAGATTTATGGGTTTTAAAATTTTTTTCCAAATTAATATTCTCTTTTGGCATTTGTTTTCACCCAGTCCTCCTTCTTTTTCTCTGTTTTTATCTTCCTTGTTTCTTCCTTGCACTCATTCTCTCTCTCCTTTCATGACTGGCTTTCCTTTTTTTTTTTTTTTTAATATGTTTCTTCCTTTCTCTCACACCTTATATAGTAAACTCTTTAACCATCAAAAGACATATTGCATTGGGAAAATCTGCTGTCAGGGATCTCTCCAAAGTACTACAGAGCAATGGCATTCACTAAGGCGCTCCTGATCCAAGACTAAGACTAAAAAATGATACACCTGATCCAAGTCATGGTCTTTCAATTACTTGCTATGAATCTGAGGGCTGGACAGTGACGAAGGAGGACAGAAGAATCAATGCCTTTGAGTTATGGTGTTGGAGAAGGAGAAGAGTACTGACTATTCTACGGACTGCCAAAAGAATAAATAAGTCTGTCTCAGAGAAAGTGCAAACAATGTGCTCTTTGGAAGCAGAGATGGGGAAGCTTCATCTCACATACCTTGGGCATGTTGTCAGGAGGGGCCCATCCCGCTTGGAAAGGTGAAGGGTCAAAGTAGGAGAGGAAGACCTTCAACAGCATGGACTGATGTGGTGACTGTAACAATAGGCTCCAGAGTGTCAGAGAAGGTGAAGATGGCTTAAAATAGGGCAAGGTACAGATCCATTGTTCATCAGGTCACTGTGAGTCAGTCGACTGAACAGTGCATAACAACAACAAAATAGTCTTGTTATGTATGCCTACTTCCTTTAGCGTGTCATTCTCTCTTCACGCATTTCTATTCTGTCTCCTAATGTCAATCATTCCTTCTCTGCTTCCTCTCTTCTCTTTTCTTTATTCTTTTATCTTATTGTTGTTTAGCACTATAGAGTTTATTTCAGCTCATAAGGACCCCTTGTGAGAGAGTAGAACTACCCCATAGGATTCTGTTGGCTGTAAGTTTTATGGAAGCATATCGTCAGCTCTTTCTCCTAAAGAGTTACTGGGTGGATTTGAACAACTAGCCTTTTTGTTAGCAGTCAAGCATTTAACTTGTATCAAGACTCCCCCTCCTTTTCCTCACTACACCGTCCTCACCTGCCTTCTCTCTCTCTCTCTCTCTCTCTCTCTCTCTCTCTCTTTATTCACTTTCTGAAATCTAGCTTATTTTCCCCTCAATTCAGTCTAGACACACTGAAAAATATATTTCAAAAGACAGTAGACATTGGATACCTACTTTTGTTTTTTGTGTTCTTATGGCCTCTACCAGATAGACAAAGCTTATGGAGAGGAATTCGTTCAAGGAAAAATGTAGAGGGAAGACAGGTTGCTAGCAGCCTGGAGACAAGGCTTGAGAAGGTAAAGAGTAAAAGATTGAAGAAATTGCCACTATGGGACTAAGAGCCTGTATAAAAGCTAGGATTTGACACACCTTGTTATCAATTTATAATCTGCAGGATCTGTAGAGTATATTTTGGGAAACACTTTCCCAAACATTTAAGAGAAACATTCAATACTTTGTTTTCTTTCTTAGTACAGTATAAGTGATTTTACTGGCATAGAATCACTACTGCTAGCGTCAAGATTTATTCATGTCCTGGTAGATTTTTTTATAGACGCACATTTTTTAGTATATGGATTAAATAATGTAAATTATTTTGTAAAGTAGCTATTTCTAGAATGCCTTGTTTAGAATACAGCTTGTTGTTTGTTTGTTTTTAAATCAATGGTGTTTTAACCTGTTATTCTGGATATTCCCTGCCTGAATGGGAAAAATATTCTCAGAATTATCTAGAAAATTACCTTCTAACCCAGCAGAGTTTGTCAGCAGAAAGTTTCCTGGGGAACATTTCATAAGACAGCCACGGAAATTCGTGGAAATACAATATTGAAAATGTCCTCAAGAAAAGGCCCTTGTCCTGTGAAGCCCCTAAAATTCCAGGTACAATTTCTTGCACGTAGAAGATACCCCCAAAATAGTGATGGATGAACTGCTATTAAAATGACTGCCAAAACCCCCCAAGAAAATTCTGTAGTTTGCTTTTCCTGCAGATGAACTGTCTGAGATGCAGAGTAAGTCATCACACTCAGTAGCTTTAAGTTGTATTTAGTATTATCTGCATCAGAGATTCTCAGGATAAAAAGGGATTTTAGAGGCACGTCTATGCAATGCTTGAGCACTTAGCCCCACTCCCACCCCACCCCCAATTTTATATTTTAATCACATATGGAAAGATCATTAACTTATTCTGTACAAAACTGTATAAGTATTATTCTCATCAAAATAAAACTATATTCTTATGTTTCGCTAATTTCTCTACTGCTTTTTAAAAAATCCTTTTTAAATATTTTAATTACAGAGATACTCATTCCTTTTCTAGTTTGCACAAATGCTTAGGTCACACCACATAGTTATTTTGGCAGCTCTGATGACACATTTGAGGCTGCAAGAAACTCCTGCAAAAGTTACCATGCAGAACCTCTGCACAAGAAAGTGAATAAGGAATGATAGAACGAAAGCATTTACTGAATTACAGAGTAACAACAGGAAAGAAAATGACTCATTTGATCAATAGTATCCAATAAGCCTGGATACCAGATCTGGATCACTTGCAGTAGAGAAATAAATTATTCTGTGCACTCTTGCTAAGTTACTGATAAAGCTTTTAAAGCCGCTTTAGTGGCAAAAGCACACAAGCAGAGATGGGAGACTCAGTGAGACCACCTGCACCATCATCCTCACCACGTCATCACTGCCCCACCTCTCAGCAGAAACTTCATGGCAAGTTTCTATGTCTAGCTGCCACCATCTGCTGGCTCCAAAGTGGCTGACTATAACCCAAGCTGTCTCAATAAAGCAAGTAAAGAATAATACCCAAAGATGACAAACACTGGAGATAATCTAGCACATACCTGCCTTATAAAAGCGTTTCTATCATTTAAAAAAAAAAAAAAAAAAAAAAAAAAAAACTATACTCTTCTCAAGAGGACAGTTGAGATCTCATTGGATGAGGCAAATCTTGCACTTTCCCAATTTAATCGGCAAGTAAAGTAGGATGGTGAAATGGGAGGGCTGGTCCCTTCTAAAACTCAGTTTATCAGCCTACATTATCCTGGGGAGTCTTCCTCCAGGTTTTTGGAATTCCTAAAAGCATTGATAACATGCTGTAGCTTAGTTGCTCAGATAAATGTCTTAACTTTATTCATCATTAAAGAATTACATCATTACAGCACATTATCTTCGAGTACTTTTTTTCTTACTAGATTAGACATATCTCTGTCCCTTTGTTTTATTTTACCCCAGTTAACTACAGTCCTCAACAGCCATAACCTTAAAGAATCCAAAGATTCATCTTACTTCATAAATGAAACTAAATTTCGTTTCTAGAATAAAAAAGGGAACCAGAAATGCTGGGTCTAAAATCAACAACTCTCTCTCTCTCGTTTGCAATACCTCAAGGGTTTCACTGTGACTCAGGTCAACTGCCCAATTAAAAGTTTGACAAAAGCTACACTTGACGGAAAATGAAATGATGGCACCGCTTTACAATAGCATATTACATTTGGTTTTGCTCACCTGTTGTTTCTTGCTTCTATGCTTTACCCCTAATTCAACAGCATCAGCCATTGGGCCTTTATTTTCCCTTTGAATTGATAGCCAATAAGATTTGGAAATAAGATTCAGATGGTACCCAGTAAAATCACATGCTGGTAGAGGAGACTCTTTCAAAAGAAGCAGGAAGGAGATGGAATTGTAATGTGGCATAGACATAATTGTGAAATGGATGAAGCTGCCCTCAATGCCCATCATGTTCCCAGTCAAGGGTCCTCTGCTCTTGTAGGGCCCCATGCCACCTTCCTGAGGACTCTGCATCCCTCCATTTTTGTGCTTAACCAGAGTCTGAACATAAATAACTGAACATATCCAAATAGCCACTTATCATACAATACTAAACAGTATGTGCTCTGGTTAAGGTGATAAAAACTCTCAATTACTGTCTAATATGTTGTTGTTGTTGTAATTTGCCATCAAGTCACCTGCTACTCTTAGCAATCCTGTGTACAACAGCTCTGAAGCCTTCCCTATCCTGAGCCAGTCTCACTGACTCTGACACACCATAATCCCAGTCACTGTATCAATACATCTCATCTGGGATCTTGCTCTCCTGTGCTGTCCCTCCACCCTTTTAAACATGATGTCCCTTTCCAAGGATTGGTCCCTCCTGGCCATGTGCCCAAAATATGTGAGACAGAGCTTCAAAATCCTAGCCTCCAAGGAGAAACTTGTTTTCACCCTCTCCATGACAGACCTGCCTGTTCTCTTAGCGGTCTGTGGTATGTTTAAGACTCTTCTCCAACACCACAACTCAAATCATTGATTCTTCTTCAGTTATCCTTTGTCATTGGCTAGCTCTCTGAAGCATAGCAAGTAATTATGAAGACCATGGCCTGGGTCAGGCACACCTTAGTCGCTAGACTGACATCGTTGCTTCTCAGGACTCTGGAGCGATCCCTGACAGC